CACACCATCAGGTGAGGCTTGTTTAACTATTGGAAAACTAGTATTATAAAGAACATGTTGTTTATGATATATAATTATGCCATCAGGAAACTTGTATTTAAGAACAAAATGATTCTTATGATATAAATATTCCACCAGTTTATCGATTCATTATTTTACAGAGGATTTGACAACTGTACCCACTACTGGTGGAATATTTATATCATATGCATCATTTTGTTCTTAAATACAAGTTTCCTGATGGCATAATTATATCATAAACAACATGTTCTTTATAATACTAGTTTTCCAATAGTTAAACCAGTTTATCGATTCATGGGAAAAAGAACACGTATGCAACTACTCATTTTTGTTTGTGTATGCACACACAACAGACCTATTTACTGTACATAACAAGAATGAGAAAGCCTGACCGTTTTCGAGAGTTGGAAAACCTTGATTTTTCAAGGATTTTAAAGTCCTTAAGTCATTAATAGACATGTAGCTCAAAATAGGGAAAGCTCATTTCCCGCTATCTAGAAATCAAAATTCTCCCGAGGAGGACCCCTGAGACCCCCCCCCCCACCTCCTTCCTTTGTGGGGGTTTTGGGAAAAATTTTGGCCGCCACACCTAAATTTGAACCCATTCATATTTCAATTCTTCTTATTAGTGCCCCCTCCCCCACACACTTTGAAAAACGTTCTCTAGACTACTTAGGGGTTTCAAAGGCTTATTTAATCAATTTTAGCGGAGATGGAGCAGCTCTAGCTGGGGCCACCCCTGCCCATACAGCTACTTGCTGAGATATTTAGTTCAAAAAAATGTATAAGCAAATCTAATAATATTTTATGTGAGACAATTAATAACAACAATTATGTGAATTTCATTCGTTGCTATGGAGTTATAAAAGTTCCATAGCACTTATAAAGGTGTTTCCTGATTTTGTGTTTTTAAATATTGCTCTTCTATAATACATAACTTGAATACAAAAATATTCATAAACCTATGACAATGATGATTTCAATAAGCTTTAAGCATCCCTTATACTTAAATTTCATGAATAAAATAGGAAATT